CTGCCTCACCATGGTCAGATAACACTTGTCAAGGAATGGCCATAGCTGGTATATGGGGATATGCGTTAGTTAATATCACAAGGTTCCACAATCATAGAAGCATGGTATTCTATGCAGTAAATACATTCCAACAAAGTATATTACAAAAGGTAAAAACATTTATTAAGGTAGATTCACACTCATGCCACAGTCCAAAGGAGAGAAGCCTAATCTAAAGAATGCCGTTCCCTGTCACAAGTGGCCAGCTACTCCAGCATCATGTGTGTGTGAGTAAGATGGCATGGCTCCTACAGGAGAGACATGTGGATGCATCTTGCTTTCTGCAGGTCCGTGAACACAGAGAGAACACAAAGTTCACAGGAAGAGGAGGAGGAGTCAGAGAGAAGCTCCCAGGTTAAGTCAAAGAGAGGAATCTCGTTTATTAAGAAGATAACACATATGCACACCTAGAGCAATGCAGCACACATCTCCCCCTCAATGTCCAGGCATGTTGAGTCACCTTACTCCAACATTTATTACAGGTCAGCAAAACCCGTGTAATGAGGTCATGCCAGATTTGGGGGGCGGGGTCTGGGACTCTGCGTGAACCTTGATTGATTGGCCTGGGCAGTTGGACTACTTAGCACACGGTATACTTATAAAACATGTAACAATAAGGAGTGTTTTCACATGCTTATGCATGAATGACAGATCTGGCAGTTGCCTTATGATTGGAAGGGTGCAGACAGAGATACTTCACGCAACCTACTCTGAGGGCAAACAGTTCTGCCATCTTTGCCTCATGATGTGTTTGGATGATACAGTCATACTTGATGCAGAGATGTAGCAAAATTGCCTGCAATGGCAAAGGCAGACAGAATGAAGCAAGGCCAGAAAGAGTAACTCCTGCAGAGACACAGTGGACAGAGCTTTGAACTCTACATTAATTTATTCCTTGCATCACATTCATAGTTCTCAGATGTCAGGAACTACCGGAACAGAAAATCTTCATATTTTATTACATGATCCCTGTTCCTGTTCAGTGAGATATTTTCTTGTGTCCAGGAAACATATTATTGCAAGATCACTAGGAAATAATGTGTAGTAGCACTGGAGGATATATTTTTGCTCTGGGATAGGAGATGATTGAGAACTAGTGGCACCTTTGTAGTATTTTCTTTATTTTCAAGTATACAAGCAGAGTATAGTGGAAGCCAACAATCATTCTAACAGCAGGTAGGAGATTCTTAGAGAGAACTCCCCCTCATGAGCATGCTTCAATTCCAGACAACTGATAGCTTCAAAATCTGTCTTTCCCTCTTTCTCCCATCTTCACCACATTAAACTGTGAACATCTCTGTCTCTCTCTGTCTGTCTGTCTCTCTCTCTCTCTCACACACACACACACAAATAACAATCCCCTCAGATTCTGCACATGCAATTGGAAAGTAATTTATGGTCTAAGGAATATGGATGTTCTTTTGTTAGGTTCCTGATCATTGAGTTACAGTGATCAAACCAGCCAAATTTGCAACAATACCAAACTTAAAAAGTCACTGCAGTACAACTTAATTTTTTTAAAAAAACAACAGGTATCTTTTGCATCAAATTTCATCTTCGCTTCCCTGCTAGCCAGTGGACAGCATGAATGTGCACAAACTTAATTCACTACTTAATGGAAATGAGCAACTATTTCTCTTACATTCTTTGAAGTCACTGCAGTGGCCAAGGTCATCATATGTCACCAACAGAATTAGCTATTGGATTGGTCAGTGGCAGTTCCTGTGAAAACTGATTGGTACCTGAATGTAGAATGTTGCCAAGACCATTTTTCTTGTCATTAAGTCACTGAACTGGGGAAAAAAATCTGGGTTTCAATGCTCCTCTTACAAAAGACCCTTATTTTATATTGGGCCAAATGATACACTGGCTTATCGAGTTATGTTTTGTTTTTGGTTACAGATTTCTGATAACTACATATGCATCATGCAAAAGATGCACGTGGCCAATACTTTTGTGGTTGCAGCTTCCAGAGGGGAAAAGCAGCCTTTGTATGCAATTGTGTCATTTGAACTTTGTAGTGTTGTATCCACTCCCAGTCGCAGAATTGATAAACGCCACCTCATTTTCTATCCCTGGGTCTTCATGGCTGTATGTGCAAATTTACCTGTGCCCACTTTCTCTCTGGGCACTGCCAGGCATTATACAGAGAAGCAATGGAAACAGGAAGAACATGCCTGCGTGCTAAATTTCTCAAGTAGCACTCCTGTATTTCCTTCACTCCACTGTGGGGTGCAGATGTTCTCTGCATGTAGGTCATATTTGTTTCACAAGAGGCATGGCTGGAGGAGGCAGTAAGGAGAAGGGCAGAAAGCGATCATCCCTTTCCATAATGTCCATAGCTCAGTTGCTCATAATCTTGGTGCACTCTGTAGCTTATCATTCTGTCATGCTAGGGCCGACAGTCCTGCCTTCCCCACGGCTGTTGCAGCATCATTACACACCACTCGTGGAGGCTTGATGTCGAAAGCTATGTCTGAATGAGGTCTATTTGTCCTGGCCTTGCCTGTGTTGTGAGGTAATGAGTCAGCATGGCATAGTCGGGGCTGGGGACTCAACTGGAAGAAAGATGCATCATGCCCAGCATCTTACAGACCCTGGCCAATGACCTCTGACTGCAAAAGTTGGACTTTTGCATTACCTCTAGGTTTTGTAATTGGTTCTGCAAATAGGACTCACAGCTTGCTACAGTGGTAACTGGGGGTATGAAAAACATCCATATGTTAATGAACAGGCACAAAGTAGGCATTGAGAAATAAAATCTCAACCTCTGGCCAGCTACAATGTGTGTGTAATTAAAATACTGTATATTGTCTTCCCTATCCCCCACGAATATTGTTAGTCCAAATGTCACGAGTAACTGTAAATTGCTCTAAGCCCGCAGGTGTGTGGAAAAAAGCGATCAATAAATCCAAAGTAAAAAAAAAATGAAGAATATATATGTGTAGCCCAGATAAGCATGTTGTCACATCCGTAGTTCCTAATTCCACTCGGGGCAAGGGCGGGTGTCTGATCACGTTTCTGGTGGCATCCGGTGCCCGCCCATGTCCCCCCCCAAGTCTCTATGGATGCGCACAAGCACCAAACGGAGCATGCGCATACTCCAGTGTACAGGGGAAAACACCGTTTGCCCTGGAGGAAGGCGAAGAGGCGACTGCTTGTCCAACTGTCCCCAGGAGCCGCACAGAAGGCAGCTCAGAGTCGCCCAGAGCGGCGACACCCCCCCTTCGGGGGACCTGCCTTTTGGTTTCATTGTCAGGACTCAAGCTCCCTCTTCCCCACCCCTTGGCCACATCCCTTTCTCCCTTCTCCTCCCACCGAGTGCCCTTCTGGGACATGTAGTCTGTTTCAGCCGCTTCTTTGTCACATGGTCATGTGATCGGCACCTCCCCCCTATACACGGGACCTTTACGGGACCTCCAGGAGACGTCTGCTCGCGCAACCGTGCGTTATTTTGCCCTGGGGCTAACAGCTATGCTCCCCCCCCCCCGCATTTTCCTGCCCATGTGACCAGAGCCATTGAGAGTCAAACACAAGGAAGACAACTCTAATTATTCCATTTCCCCCACACTATTCCATCAAGGTAACACTTCAAATAATCAGCACCTCAGAGCACTCTTGCCATATTTCATTTTTTTAAAAGAACGTGAACCTTTATTTTGGCTGTTTTCCACTGTGTAAACAACACTCTTTGGTAAAAATACTTCTTTTGAGGGGGAGACCTCTTGATATTGCATAGAAAATAGACACAAGCAAACAACTCTTTATATATATATATATGTATATATATATATGTACAACACACAGAGACACACATATATTCTTAAAAATAGAATACATCTTGGCAAAAATTACTTCCAGAGTTTGTTACCACCTTATACAGTGTATTGACACTTAACATTGCTCAACCAAGCCTGGTGGATTTTGTTTCCTTTTTAGAAACCTATTCCATTTGGGGTAGGCAAATTACTATCTTCTGTAATTTCTTTTGTCATTCATTGAGGGAGATAGTTGCATTCCCTTGCTTGGTGCACCACAGATTCTTAGTTGTAAACACCAAAAACTTAGCAGGCTTTCCCAGTCTATGGACCATACCAAATTGGCAGAGGTTATATAAAGAACATGGGAAACAGAAAATGTAGATGTGCTAAAATAATCAGAGTAAAAATACCTTAAGAATTGTGTAAATTGGAAGTGACCATGTAGGACCTTTTCCAGGATATTAAGGGTTTCAGATGTTATGGCTTGGATCCAGCAATGCGTAGCCTGAAAGGAGAATGTACTTAGTGCAGCTGTGCTTGTGCAGGGGCTGCAGCAACACAACACTTCATTCCATTTTTTTTTAAGTGTATCAGAAAAAAGACTTCCTGCTATGTCTTATGCACATACAAAAGAGCAGGGATGCAACTGCTTTAATTTAGTGGAAGCAGACAGTGCAGAGTAATTGTGGTGCTTCTGCAAAAACTATTGCACATACAGAAATCTTTCATGGATGCAACCCATGCAGAGCATGACTGTGACAAACATTTGTTTGCAAATACATGCATCATCACTGTTTGTTTGTTTTAATCAGACATCTACCAGTTGAATGGCAAACTGGATTATTATTATTTTTTGCTGTGTCATGTGTGAATTGGCCCTATTGGAATTCACATGTTCCTTTTAAAGATCCCTGTTTTTACTGACACAAGTGTAGACATGCTTAGCATTGTGATGCTTTTTGTTGAGGCCAGGGGACAAAAAAAACAACCTATCTCCACCAAGCCTTGGAAAATAATTAAGAAATTAAACATTCTGAAATTTTGTGAGAAATAAACCTTGTTTTGTCTTCATGTCAGAAAAAAAAGATTACTCATTTTAGCCTACAGCATTGGACCACTAAAATACCACCTAATTAGTACTTCTAAACAAATAACGAAGAGTCAGCAGAACAATCTTTGGAAAAGTGACTGCTCCAGGGTAATAAATAAAGCAAATTGTTCAGGTTCTGTGGATTATAGTCATTCTTGTCAAGATGGAATGATGGGGGAAACACTCCGGCAGCTCTGGGAAGGAAGAGGAAGTAGCACCGATTGTTTTCAAGTTGCGATGAGGCAGCAGAGTCATTCTGGAAGTGGTGACACCCAGTGGCATCTATGCATGTGGTTATCATACTTTGCTTATTGTCGGCAGTGCTTTCCTAGTATGGATAGGCAGACACGGCGATATAGACTATGAAGGTTGTCTGATATTCAATGGCTCCATCAGCGCTGTAAGAGAGAGCCCTGACTTTCATTCGATACGTCTCTGGCTCTCGCAGAGGCCTGGTTGTATAGACCACACCCTTCAAGTTCTCATCTCTGAGTGCAAAAGGGATTGTCAAATCCTCACGGACCATGAGGAAAGTTGTCCTTGGATGCATCACTCCATCTTCAGTGTAGGCAACTAGGCGGATTAAATCCTGATTGGCAGCAATCCCAAATGGGAGTGAAAGAAGTTTGTATTCCAAGGCATACGGGCTCAAGGCACATTCCAGATCATTAAGTGGACAGTTCTTGAGGCAGAACCTAAAAGTAAACACAACTATGAAATGGCCAGTCTATCTATCTATCTAGTACTCCTCATACAGCTATCACTTTAAGCAGAAATTAGAACCAAGAAATAGCCAGTCTTTTCACCTACTTTATTTACCTGAAAGACTAGTGTTTCTTTGTTTTCCATATATGCCATCAAGAAAAACATCAAATCATCTTTAATTTGTGTACAAGTTAAATGTATGTGCAGTAATACAAAACTTTTGGGTATGCCCTTTTGTAATGAGGGGTCATCTTATATTTGGAGTCATCTTCATTTTATCTTATTTATTTATTTATATTTATTTATAGTTTTGATTTCTATACTGCCCTTGACCCCGAAGGGTCTCAGAGCAGTTTACAGAGGGTATATATAGATTCAAGCAGCAGCAACACCATAATGAAGAGATCTCTAGAGGGGTCTCGGGATTCCTGCTAGGTTGCCAAGCTGGCATGAAACATGAACGTTAAGTGGTACAGTACAAAATGTGACAAGGATTGTACCACCATGTCAGGTGTTGTTACTAAAGACATGCGTTCTTCAGAATGTGACACAGTACTTCCAAATCTGTGCTTTCCCCTCTCCTTCCTGGCTGCTAACAATGGAGAGAAATGACAAGTTGGTGTTGGTTTTGCCATTGCCCCTTAGAATATTTGCTTGGAGCAGCTGCTTTTGCACTGTCCATGTGTATAGTTTCATTCCAGAAAAAAATAAAAACTGGGGGAAAACAAGAGACGGTTGCATCATACCCAGAAAGAGGATCTCGCTGATAATTTGGAGGACAAGGAGTATCTATACACTGATAGCTTCCTCTCATGTTGAAGCACATTCCATTTGGGCCACAGTGGATGTTCTGTTCAAGGCACTCATCTATATCTGATTAAATTTAAAAAGAGAACCATGAAAGCTAGCTGAACAGTTCTTTCAAATTATAATTGCAGATGTACCCTTACCCTGTGCTCTAGTAAGGCTTTAGAGCTTATGAAGGCACTATGGCTTAGAGTCCTTTGAATTCTTCTGTGGGCTGAAGGATTTCCACTTGCAGACCACAACTTTCTCACACATGGAAGCTGGAAACCCCCCAGAAAATCTTGTTCCCTGGGGACAGGAAATCCCCAGGAACAGTATAAGGAAAGGGGTGGTATTTCAGGCTGCCACAGAAGGGAGGAGACAAGAAAATTGCACTTCACAAGTGGAAATCCTTTAGCACAAGCATACTTAATCTAAAAACATACGTGGAGACTGTCTGCAGAGGAACAATGGGAAAATACAAGTGTTAGGAAAATCATACAGTGGAGGAAGGCCTCCTCCACATGCACTATGGTCCTAATCATACTCAGAATGCCTAGACCTCATCGATCAGCTGAAACCAGGGATGGATGCAGGTAAGGTATAACATGTAGTTGGGCCCGGAGGAAAATAGACAAACACAGAGGAGGGGGGCAGCCCTACCATCCTGAAAAGGTGTCCCTAACGTAGGATAGGCTACATGTGTATGAGTGAGACTAGGCTAATCAGGTCTCCCACTTTGGTAGGAGACCTCCCAACTGGGGCCCCACGACTCCCACTGCTGGTCAGTGGAGAAGCAGGAGCAGGAGACCACTGTCACATCAAAACTGCAACATCACTTCTGGTGCAAACCCAGAAGTGATGTCACTGCATAGGCATGATGCTCTAGGATTCGCCCCAAACTCTATGGTTTTACCATTCAATACAACCATCACTACCCCCTGCATCTCCCAAGGATTGTCAGTGCTGGGCTGGTAACTGTAAGTAAGGCCCACAGTTTAATTAAAACCTTGAGACTTTACTCAATTGTATCTACATCAGCTGAAAAATTCAAATCTCTCCTATATGGCTGCCTGCCAAGGTGTTTATTTATTCTATACTCAAAGCATCACATTTATGTAATTGTTCCCTTTGCCAAAATATTTTCTTACCTTGGCACGTTTTGCCATTGGCTGTTACCTGGTAACCAACTGGGCAAAAACACTGGTAACTCCCTAGAGTATTCCTGCACTCATGCTGACACACATCTCTGTTCTCACATTCATCGATATCTGCAAAATGCATGAAAACAAGCATTAAAATTGTCACACAAAGAGGCAATCCAAGATTGAAAAATCTAATTGACGAAAGACTTCAGAAACTAATTCTTATGGAATTAAAAACAATCTAGGTTTTATGCACATATTTTACTTGGGTTGCTTTGAGTGATGCAGTGCAACAAAAGGAATCCGCTCATGTCCAACAATTCTGTGTTTAAATTACACGTGCAATAAACAAAAAAACACTGCATTGTTATAGGATATTGGCCTGCACACTATTAGAAGAGCAATATTTTATCAACCCCTTCTAACAAGATGAGAGGATGATGCAGGGTTGATCTATTCCAATTATAGAAGTCACTGGAGAAGTCAGGAAGTAAGTGGATTGGGCCAGTGGCTCACAGTGGCTAAGAACCAGTCAATATAACTCAGAAAGCTGGCAGGGAAGGGACTGAATGACCAAGCTCAAAGTCACACATGTCTTCTGGGAGTCACTAATATGATGGATGGATGGTTCCCCTGGGGCAAATCTGTCCTTGGCCACAAATGCCTTCCTCACACCCTCAGTGAGCTCAAGATTAGGCAACAAAATTTATGACTGAATTTTCTAAGTTTGGGGGTGGGTAGTGAAGTAGAAGCATCCAAATAAAATCTGGAAGATTGACATGCTGGAATTTAGAAACTAGTGACAGATTAAGACCATCAGCATAGTTAGTCTGAGGGATGGTGAAACTACACTTTAAAAAAGCCGTATTTTATAGCACATATACTACAGCTGTGGTACCTACACATATCAAATATGAATAGGAGGAAGGCTTTTGAAACTAAATAACTCTTATGACATTTTTGATATTTTATTGATTTGGGATGGCTGTTGTTCTTGCTCTTGGTGCTGTGATAGTGATAATATTAAAGCAATTGATCTGTGTAATAGTTTTTCCTTTACATTTGACTGGTGTTTTACAGTATTTGTTTTGTAAAACAGCTTATGTTTTCTTACATAAAGTAGAGGTAAAAATGAGTGCCCCGTGTTAGCCCAATAAATATCCACTTTAAAAAAATGAAGTATGTGGTGTGCCAGGAACAATACCTGGATAGGTGCAAATGTAAATGTGACTACAATGCAAAGCATGCCTTGGGTTCAGAGAGCACTGTAATTACACTGGGCAATTCTGCATTGGCTTTTCCCTCCGTTGTTTTACGAAACCCAAGTTGGAACAGAAATTCCCCTCTGCATTGCATGCTGCTTTCACTTTCTTTGATCATTGGATTTTATGGCACCCTCCACACTGCATGCCGCTTTTGCTTCCTTTGATCATTGGGTTTTATGGTATCTTCTGCATAGATTTATGGCTGTCCAGGGGTGACTTTGCCGTTAGTACGGCATTGCCCCAAGGTATTTGAATGTGGTTTTGAGCTGCGCTTTCCCCTCCCAGTTGAGAAAATGTTAATAGCAGAATCGCCCTTAGTTTGCTCAACTGAGGTTCCAGGAGTTCTTAATGCAAGCCTGTAGTAGGTATGTCAATATGGCAGCATCCCTGGCCTCTGTTCCTTTCCATGCAATTCTCATTGTTCTGGAATCTTAGCTTGATTAACTAATGGTTTTTGGAGACAGCTCATTAAAATACAGGCAGGGAAACAAGGAAGATGGAATGTCTAGGAGGAGAGGAATGGTCCAAGAGCCTGCCGTTCTTGATAGGTTCCCAGATTGATTGTACCCAGCTTCTGGGACCTACACCATTGTTTTAGGGCCTACATTCACTATTTTTCAATGTTGAGTAGTTCATAAGAACATAAGAGGAGCCAATGTTGGATCAGGCCAAAGGCCCATCCAGTCCAACACTCTGTCACACAGTGGCCAAAAATACCAGGTGCCATCAGGAGGTCCAGCAGTGTTTTATCCCTTCCTTGTTGAAAGGGGAGGTTCCAATATAGTATGTAATTACTCATTTCATTACCTTGAATTCTGTGCTTTATTATGCATTTAGTTAAGATATTTATACCCTGTTTTTCCTCTTGACTCAAGGTGCCTTACAAGTAGCTACTAAAACATTATAGATTAAAATTAAATACTCCCCCCCCCGAGATGTCTGCAGTTCATAGCACATCAAAAGGCCTGGCAAACACAAAGCTCACCGTGCCTCCTGAAGATTGCCAAAAAGGGGTTCCCCTCATCTCTTCAGGGAACCCATTTCACAATATGAGGGCTGCGGCAGAAAAGACCTGGGCTCTGGTCAATATCAGGCGGGCTGCCCTGAGACTGTAATTGTCATATGGGCCCTGACCTGAATGGCCTAGGCTAGCTTGATCTAGTCAGATTTCAGAAGCTAAGCAGGGTTGGCCCTGGTTAGTATTTGGGGTGGGAGACCACAAAAGAAGGGCCAGGTGCATGATGCAGAGGCAGGCAATGGCAAAACACCCCTGAATGTCTCTTGCCTTGAAAACCCTATGGGGTCACCATAAATGGGCTGTGATTTGAAAGTACTTTCCACTACCAACATGAAACTGTGGGTGGGGAATCCACAGGCCCACTCTTTTACCAAGTGTATTTTAAGTGTATTTACCAAGTGCATTGTAATTAATTTTTAACTGTACTATAGATATGGAAATGTTATCAGTGAAGTCAAAGTTACTCTTTTAATTAGGCAGGATTTTGGTATGCATACTTTGTATGCAGATCCATTTAATTATTTGTGCCAATCACTGAGCTGGCTACAGAAATAGGTATCATTGGGTGCATTCAGACGGGGGCTTTCTGCCGGCATAAACTGCACTGGTTGGAACCGGTGCAGTTTATGCCGGCAGAAACGCGATCACACTTACCTCCATTTTGCGGTTCCCATCAGTGTACGCCCGGTTACACGCTGCGGGCGTCGGTGGTTTTTTTTAAAAAAAGCAACACAGTTTGAGCATGCGCATAGGCAGCCATTCACAGAATGGCGATCTTTGCGCATGCTCAACCCCCCCATTACATTTAACCCCCCCATTACATTAAACCTTTAAAGATTAAAGCCCAAACTGGCCTCCCTTAAGTCCCGGACTTCTCCGGATAGGTAAAGCAAGGGATTTTTTTAAAAAACAAACGCTCAGGGCGAAGCTTTGCCCGAGCGCATATCGCTCTGTTTAAAAAAAAAATGGCGGGGGAAAACCTGAAGCCTCAGGCTTCCGACGGAAAAGGCTAGGCACCGGTGGAGAGCGATCAGACGCCGGGGAAGATCGGAAGCAACCGTTGCACTCAGTATACCACCACTTGGGACCTAGTGGCAGAGTGCAACGGTGTAAAGGGCTTTACATCGGTTAGGGACAGGAGGCAGATGTTCGCCGTCTGAACGCCGGTGAGTACAGCGATTGCAACCGGCCCCTATACCGATGTAAAGCCCCCGTCTGAACGCACCCATTGAGTGGGCTAATTCACGTGTGGTCTGAAAGATAGAAGTGTAGAGGCAGGACTGCTCTCTCTGGGCTCAGTGGCACTCTTTGGAAGTAATCCAAGTCTGTTTACCACTGAGTCACCACCAGGGTCTCACCATTGTTCCTAACTCCATCCACTCTTTTACAGAAAACTGACCAGCAGAAGATGTGTGTGGTACATGTGGAATAGTTTTTAATATAAAAGGAACAGGACCCCATCCGTGTTTTTCTCGTGTATGGAAACCCCAGTCGCATCAAGTGTTCCATGATTAATGGACACCCTGGAGAGCAGGGATGGAAACTGATCCTTGGAGTAAATAAGGCTGGTTCACCCATCAATGTACATCACTTGATGTCTCATAGCAGAATGGGTGCACTTCCTCCCTTGGAAAGTACTGCGTTTGAGGTAATCTGTAATGGCTCTGTCCAATATGCATCTCACTGTCTGAGGCGGCAGTCATCAAAGTGGTGTTAGTTTGTGTGTGAGAACTGGCCTGAAGCGTGTGATTTATCAGTATTGCCCAACTGTTTGCTGTTCCCGTTAATTTCAGTGGAAAGCAGAGTGCAAACACTTTGTCCCCTCCCTCTCAGGCATTCAGAAGTTCCACAAAGAGAAATAAGAGCATTTGGGGCTTACTCACTGCGCCACTTTGTTGTCTTTATTATTAATGTATTACAAATTATTTGTTTTAAGTGACTTCTAACATTTTCTTAGCTCCCTTGGATGAAAATATTGGTAGAAGGCAAGCAACAAGTGCTCTAAAATAATTAGACAAGCCAAAGGCAACTTGGCAGTTGACTTTGTGTAGCCTACGCCCTTCTCTAAATGAAGTGAATGTGCCCTAGAGATTTCCGCGTAGTTCCAGATGCCTCTTGTGGCATGGTATTGCTTTGTGCCAAGTCCTTCACAGCTGTGAATATGCACCTTGCGTGCTACGTTTGGTCTGGCCAGCACAGCTTCTTGCACAAATTTGTGAGGGTAAGGGGCCATATCCAAATGGAAAGTATCAGGATACCCATTTATACAGCACGTCCATTCTAGCTTGCAGCCTTTCCCATGAGAAATGCATCAGGAGCCCTGCTCCAGACCAGTGTTCCCTCTAAGCTGAGGTAGTGTGAGCTGGCTCACAGTTTTTTAGCCTCTGGCTCACACGTTTTTGTCTTAGCTCAGGAAGGATGGCTCCAGAGCAAACTAATTTATGCAGTAGCCAAATAACCTGCTCACAATTCTAATGCCAGTAGCTCACAAAGTGGAATTTTTGTTCACAGGACTCTACAGCTTAGAGGGAACATTGCTCCAGACTCACTTTTCGTACTGTTCTTGTCTCGGCAGTGACACTCCTCAAGAGATTTTGGGACAGAGGCCTTGAGAAATGCTTCCATTTTACATCCCTATCACCTGGGCCTCAGAGGACTTGATTCTGAGGAGCATGCCTTTGGCCTGAAGTCTGGCCATCCCTGTGCAATAATGTGGAGAAAGAAAGAAAGAAAGGAGAGAGATAGAGAGAAGGAAAGCGAAAGGGAGAAGGAAAGAGAAAGAGAGAGAGAAAAAAGGAAAGAGAGAGAGAGAAGGAAAGAGAGAGAGAGAGAAGGAAAGAAGGGGAGAGAGAGAAGGAAGGAAGGAAGGAAAGAAAAAAAGAGAAAGAAAGAGCCCACAGAGTAAATATGATGCATTGAACAGAATGGTGGTTCTACAAAATATTTATCTGCTGTTTGGGGAGAATGTCAAAGTTACAAATGGCAGTAGAATCCTACTATAGAGCATCTCACAAAACAATGCATCATATCTCTGTGTAAAATAGCCTAACAGTAAAGTGAATCAACAGCAAAAAAATATTTATTTTTTTTGGAATATGCTATATATAGACATATACACAAATGTGACATTTACCTACACATGTGTTATTTCTTGCCTCATAGCCTTCAGGGCAAGTCTCTCTAACATTCCTTTTAGTCCTGGAGATGGGAATTCTGCTGTTCCTATACTCTGAGTAGGAGCTGTAGATATTGGAGGATTGTCTGAAATACTGCTGAGGTCGATAGTTGTCTCTCACAGGGGAGAACTGTGCATAGTTATAATTATTATAATAGGTGCCATAATTTGGCAACCTCTCCAATCCGGCGCAAGATTTGCCATCGCCTAATAAATGTTGTCCAGGGGGACAGATACACTTGAAGCTGCCAGGGCTGTTGGCGCATTGATACGCACAAGGTTTAGGCACTTGTTCACATTCATTAATGTCTGCTCATGTGGCATCAAATCCAAAGCAATAAATCATGCCACAAGGGGGAAAGGAGGGGGAAAAAACACAAAACATAAAAAGCATATCAGTCTGTGGACCAACTGACATCACAAATGTGATTCTGAAACCACAAAGTCCAGCTTTTTCTGAGCTAGACGCAGTGCATGCATTAGTCTTTGTGTCAAACAGTTCATGAAAACCACATCATCATCTTGGCTAAAGATCACTTTCAGATACACACAGAAATCAGCTGGAGAGCATCTTAGCATTGGCATTCCAAGATACAGACTGGGGTAGTCTTCTAGTGCTGTGTTTCTAGGGCCAGTTTTATGGGAACTGCCCTCTGACCCCTCCCTCTCTCACTTTTTTCCTCTCACTCTCCTTATCATTGGCATTCCATGGCAATTTAAGCGCTCAATAAGTGCAATAAATATTGAGTAAGATATAGACTGGGGCAGTCTTCTAGTGCTGTGTTTCTAGGGCCAGTTTTATGGGAACTGCCCTCTGACCCCTCCCTCTCTCACTTTTTTCCTCTCACTCTCCTTCCATGGCCTTCCATGGAGACACCACCCAAGAGAATGCATGGAGAGGCACAATGAGGTGCACCAATGCATCTCAGCTTGCTCCAGCCATCAGGGTATAGGAGGGGCCTGGAATCCCCTCCTTGGACCTGTACTACTGCACTGGGAGTCTTCAAGGGCCAAGTTAGCCATCTGAACAGTCCACTGACTTCAAGGAGAGTTATCTTAAAAGTTCGTAGCTTAAGCAGTAGCCAAAAATAGATGCTGGGCACAGGAACATGCAATAATATATGTTTGAATCTTTCTTCGAACTTACCCATACAAGGTCTTCCAACTCCCTGGGATCGGTACCCTCTCGGGCACACACACTGGTAGCTTCCTCGTGAGTTTTCACAAATCTGGTTGTATCGGCACTGATGAGTACCATCTCTGCATTCATCAATATCTAACAAGGAACATGAAGTCTTAAGGGAAGCCGGATTTTTCTATGAGAAAGTAGTTATTCCTCTTTCTTAACTTTTTTAACACACAGAGTTTATTTATATTGCTGCCCAAAGCTTTCCCCAGCTGCATCTCATACCCTACCACTCCACTCAGCTGGAGCTTTCCTCTGGATGAAGACTTCCCCCAGAGGAAAAGCCTCTTTTGGTGGAGAAACAGCCTCTTGGAGGAAGGCTCCTGTTGGGGAGAGCGACTCAGAATGCCTGGACATTGGGGGTGCTGAATCACTCTAAGGGTATATAGGTGTTATCTCTTGAATAGGGTGCCTCTCTTTGTCTTAACCTGGGAACTGCCCTCTGACCCCCTCCTCTCTCACTTTGTCCTCTCACTCTCTTTACATGGCCTTCTATGGAGACACATTTCTCTGCATGTGTCTCCTGCAGTAGCGCCCTCAGGGGTCGTTTCGTAGAAAAAGAGCTAGGGGAACTCATTAACATAACTCATTAGCATATGCCACACCCCCTGACATCACCGGAAGTGTGTCATAAGGCCACACACTCCGCCCCCAACGGTCCCGGCCGCTGCCGGCGGCCTTGCAGCTCCACTGCCGAGCCCCATGAGGGGCCCGGCGGTGGACCTGCAAGGCCAGCGGGAGTACAAGGAAGCCCTGCAAAGGCCCTCCCTGGCCCCAGGCAGGCAGGGGTGGGGAGAGGCAGGGAGGAAGCAACTTACCCTCCCTCTTCTCCTGCCTCCTCCTGGCTGAATGAGGGCCGGAAGCGGGGTGACCGGAAGCAGGGGGCGGGGCTTCATCATGTGCCCCGCCCCCCGTACCTCACCCGGGGGAACTGCGATCCCCCTCGATCCCCCCCGAAATGACCTCTGAGCACCCTCATACTCCCACAGACATGATGTTGGACAAACTGGCCATTTGTGATAGAGAAAGTATTTTTTAGATTAGGCTTCTTTCTCTCCTTTCAACTGCAACTTGAATGTGAACTGCATCTACTTGAATAAATGTAAGTTTACCTTTCTTTCTTTTTTGCAATGTACTTCTTGGGATATTTATTTACTGCACTCATGACTGGACAAAACTCTGTTATATTAACAAAATATCCCAATAGCTCCTTCCACAAGATTTCAGAATCTGGGGACTAACATATTCTGTATTTGCTTATTCCCACCTCTCCTCATCTTACCCTTCAAAAAGAATACATACCATAACATTCAGCAATGAGATAACAGGAGGGCTAACAAAAGCTTTTTTCTTTGTGATGAACCAAATACTGATTCATGTGGATGTTCATAAGTATGATGCAAGAGTTCTGATTCACATAAAATACCACTCATGTTTATATGATAAGAAGGAAAGAAATGATATTGAAACAACTGGAGATCTGCTTGTCTGTTACTGACTCTGAAAAGAATATGGTATAAATAGATACACCTACCTATACATGTTCCATTTTCTGATTTGGTCATTCCATTTGGACACAGATCAATGCATTTATAGCCACCTCTGGTATTCTTGCATAGCTGGTCAGGTCTGCATACATTTTGTCTGCATTCATTCACATCTTTTATAATAAAGAAGAGGGTTATAGTTGTAACCACTTTTATCAATAGCAGCTGCATTCATATGCAACAAACCACCATGATTTGTCATTACAGAAATGTGCCTCAGAAATCCTCATGCACGGTTCAAAACTTAATCACTTACCCATTTGTGACAAGACAAAAGAATCCTGTTCTGGAAGTAAAACCATAGTTTGCAGTTCAGACAAAACAACAAACCAGAGCTTGCTGTAAGCGCAGGTGAAGAGATGTAATTTCTGAGAGGTTTGTGAGGAGAAGGGGTGCCTGAGCCTAAGGATTTCCAAAGCCCATGACCATAATAACAAACCATGCTTTATTGTCCAATGTATTCAGATGTCATGACAAATCTGTTCGTTCATGACAGACATGAACTTGTTGACATGCTCACATGCTCATTTCCACTTCCTCCTCTGCTTGCAAGCCAACTATTATTGAAGGGTTCCTGATTTTAAATGCATCTGCAGTGCATGAATCCAAATTCCCATGACATCTGAATGCATGTGCCTGCCTTCAGATGTCACGGCAAACCAGAGGTTCAGAAAGAAAATACAAAGGGGGAAGAAACTCAACCACAGCATCAGGTTGGGTACTCAGAAGGTTGAGTATAACAACCTTAAAATATAACAAGTTAAAAAATATAACAACTTAAAATATAACAAAGTATTTATTACAAAGTGTAACAATTAACAAGTAAAAAACAATACAGATACTTAGGAGTGCTAAAATTCAACATTGCATGCCAACTGAACACGAATCACATAATCAGCAGCTTCATGTGTTCATGTGCAGGAATATCAGAATGAATTTGGCTCTGAGAGGCTTCTTCAGTGGCCTACAATCAAATAGCACACATTTAAAACAAATTATAAGAATTAAGGGCCAGTCAGGTTTGTAGTACTTCAATATGAGGGTAGGCTCCACGTGAAAATCAGGCCTGTATATAATTCTGAGCCAACCCACAAAGAGGGCAGTGTCTCTCTCCAATTATTCTGTCTCTGGCCAAAAATCCATCATCTCTGTGTTCAAGGTTTCTCAAACCAGGAAGGCTGGCCAAACATGCTCCACACATGAGGGAAGAAGGAAAGGAGTTCACCAGCATGGCAACATGCCAGGCTTGTACCCATCTTAAAAACAGAAGCCGATTTATGACATCTTAATGTATGAGTTGCCTCTTTAGTGGGAGGTAAATACCAAGAATCCAAGTGGTTGAAATCAAACCTCTAGCATTTTGAAATAATAACACTGACCTGCACATTAGAAATTCCAAATATTGCCCATATGAAATTTTGTATTTGTCTTTTCATTTAAGACACAGAGTAACTATTTGATTTGATCGGCTGTTCCCCTCCGCCTGAGATGCTGAAGAGACACTGCCAGTCTGAGTAGATAATACTGACCTTAATGAATCAGTGGTCTGATTCAGTGTACAGCAGCTTCATATGTTCATGTGCAGGAATATCAGAATGAATTTAGATTGCTCTAACATCAATGACAGAATTCAGTGCAAAGGCTATAGCAAGTATTGATCATGGTGGGAGAAATGTTCAGACACAGTTAACACACTATTCCAGTCCATTTTATGTGAATTAATCCAAGAGTTTAAGGACTGATGATTTCCCCTATATACTTTCTTTGGGATACACATTAAATAAACCACATTCACTTCATTCCACAGTTTTCTGGGGTTGGATCCTACGAGTTTTTCTTTTGTCAAAAAGAGGGCAGGGGGCCCCCTTTTGTTCACTGAAAAGGGTATGCTGGGGATCACTGAACCCATGTGAAGAAAAGGCATGCAGGACAGAGGCTACAGTGAAGAGGGGAATCAGGCAAGATTGAGCAGAAACCCTGATAGGATCCAACCCTTGATATTAGAGGTGGGATGACTGATGGGGGTTGAGTTGTGTCTGCAGCTCACACTGTCATTATGCCTTTACTATTTTCTCAGCAACAATGAGGCCTAAAGATTCCGAAGACTATATCAAGGGTTTTCACACCCCACAAGAATCATATTAGTGACTATCAGATAAATTAGTGGGCTTAGACTGAAGGAACTGACTGAAGGAACTTTAAATAGGTTTGCACTATAAATGGTGCTCATTGCTGGCTTAGTTCTTATTTTGAATATCCTTAAGAATTGTTTAAAGATTCTTACCCACTTTGTGTACAGATCTCTACTTTTAAGCTGTAAGAGGGCTTCTTTAGGGAACTCATTACCATTGATTGATATACCAATGGTCACCTGTGGGAATTTGGGATTGGCATTTAGAATCCTGGGGAGTGCGAGGAAGCCCCGCCAAGGCCCTCCCTGGCCCCAGGCAGGCAGGGGTGGGGAGAGGTGGGGAGGAAGCAACTTACCCTCCCTCTTCTCCTGCCTCCTCCTGGCTGAATGAGGGCTGGAAGCGGGGCGGCCAGAAGCAGGGGTCGGGGCTTCATTGTGTGCCCCGCCCCCTGCACCTCACCTGGGGGAACTGTGTTCCCCCGCATTCCCCCCCGAAATGACCTCTGCAGATCTCTATTTTTAAGCTGTAAGAGGGCTTCTTTATCCCTATGAAAACCATTGATTGATATACCAATGGTCACCTGTGGGAATTTGGGATTGGCATTTAGAATCCTGGCTGCTTAGTGGCCTATGCATATGTTTCATACATTCATCTGTACAGCAATTAAATGGCTAAAGTCTCTCACAAATAAACCTTATAATACAATAACTTGCAAGTATCTGATTGCCCTGAAATCTGTATCATACCCATGCATTTTCTGCCTTTTAACTGATATCCTGGATCACATCCACAGTGGAAACTTCCAATGGTGTTGAAGCAGCGCTGATGACAGGGACTGGAATCTTGGCATTCATTAACATCTGTTGCGTAATAAAGACACAGTTTAGTTTTTTTTCTTCACACTACAGCCCAGTAATACTGTTAGCAATCAGACCCCTCTTCCCGCTGAGGGGCAGTTTAAAAGAGCCAGAAACACCCTTATTAGTATCACCATAATACCTTAAGTGCAGGGCACTGCTTGAGCCAAAAAGGATCAAGATGGATGCCAGCCAGGCATCAACCTGGGGAATCAGTTTCAAGGTGCGAGTCAGAGCGGCTGGCTGACTTTAGAACAACGGGTCACCCAGGACTTACTCAGTATAATCCCATCAACATCCAAGCCCAACTTCCCCTTCACCCATTACCCTTGATTAAACAGTGACATATATACAAAGTATAGATTCAATCAGGACCATTAAATAAATTGTTCAAAAGTAAAATCACCAGGCACAGGGTAAATATGCACACAAGACCTTTAAGGTGCAATCACTAGCCCAGTGATTATAAAATAAACTTGTGGTCCAAAAATTTCCTTCTTTGATTGTGTTGCCACAGTATTCACAAGTAAAAAGCAGTCTCAAGGGCACACCATCAAGAGCCGGGAGCTGACACCCTGCCCCAAAGTCCTCCAGCCACAGAACCTCTGTCTGAGAAGGATTCAGTCTCAGCCAGCTCTGTTTTAGCTACCCCATCTGGCTCTGTTTTAGTTAGTTCTTGTGTGTGTTTCAGTGTGTGTGTGTGTGTTTTTTTATTTCCATTTCCTTTTTAATAAAATCCTTTCCTGTCAAACACCTGCCTGGTTTATTTTGAGAGATCTCTTAAAGGGAAAAATCCTGGTATACATAGGTGGAGATCCCAGTTACCCATCTCTTGCTCTGTTTTCTTTAGCTAATTCTCCCAATTTAAGTGGAGACTGCCTCTTTGGGTAATAATACCTGTTAGGGCCAACCTACATGATATACCTGACATGTCAGATCATGGGTACATGATGTACATCAAGGGAACTCATGATCCTTCACTCAACACCCATCTGAAGACTGGGCATTTGGAAACTGAAGAAAACTTAACATGTGCAGGTGAAATCTCAGTGACATTTAGTGATCCATCCTGTCCTTATGCTAAGGTCAACTAAGGTACCCTCTTCACTGATGGTGGAAAGTGCCGCTGAGTTGCAGCCAATTTATGGCAACCCTGTAGGGTTTTCAAGGCAGAAGACATCCAGAGGTGTTTTGCCATTGCTTGTCTCTGTGTAGTGACCTCTGACTTCCTTGGTGGTCTCTCATCCAAACACTAACCAGAGCCCACCCTGCTTAGCTTCCAAGATCCTACGAGATCAGGCTAGCCTGGGCCACCCAGGTCAGTAACCTCTTCTTACTGAATAAGTGTTGTTGTTGTTGGATTAAAATTATCTCCACACCTTGGCAACTCAGACCATCTGATGTTCTTCTGAAGCCAATTCCACATCTAACCACACAGCGATAGGAGGCAATGACATTCTCACAGTCTTGGCCAGCCTGGCAGGAAAGCCTCCCTAAGGCACATTCATCAATGTCTGTAATAAAGTAGATGCCATAAGTGTGGTCATACATCAATATAACATGGATTACAGAAATACATGGTACAATACACAAATATAGCCAGAAAGTCTGATCCAGTTTTAAGCCAGTGGCTTCCAGTTATCTTAAATCAGGGTTACATTGTGACCATTGTGGGTTCTAATTCACCTCTAATCCGGCTACTGCATTAAATCTGAAATGATGCTTACCTTGGCATGCTCTTCCATCTGCAGATATGGTAAGGCCTTTTGGACATGAGCAATAATAGGTTCCTATTGCATTGTGGCATGTGTGGGAACATGGATTTTGGGATGTACATTCATCTTCATCTAACAATAGACACAATCCAAAATAAAGTCAGTTTATCATTCTCACAATATAGTTTAATATATAAGCGTGCCACATGCAGCATTAAGGATATAAATAGGTGTCTAGGAGTTACAACTTCCTTCCTTAAAAAAACACCAGCACAAAAACTCTGTCACATTCCCATGGGCTACGGAGTTCAGTTCAAAAATAGTAAACAATCAGCGGCAAGGAAAAACAAGTTTCAATTAATTCACAATTCAAATTCAATCTCGATTCACCTACCCCTTATATGTAGGAATCTTTATAATCCCTAATTTGTTAATTTTAAAAACGTCCTTATAGTTCTAGAAAAGCATTTTAACATGGACTGACCCCCTCCAAGTATTAAAATATAAGAACAGAATTCAATTATGCTTCTAAACTTTTATAATTTCTAAGTGCATACTCCAATATTTTTTCCAGTTCTTCCACAGTTGGATTGTCTAATTGTCAGATGCAGTAGTTTCTGAACAAGACAACTGTTTATGGGCAATATATCCACCAGTTGTAATATCCCACTCAAATAAAACCAAACAGAGCAGATGAAGAAGTAGGAAGGGTAATGTGTGCTGCACAATGCCTTATTGGGCAGGAAGTTTCAGATCTGAGGAGGGGCAATATGGCATTCATAGTATCTAGTCAAACTACTGGTCATTTTCTTACCTGAGCAATAGGGCCCAGTAGAGTCCAAACCAAACCCATTAGGACATTGGTTACTATGGTCTCCTGGGGATAAACAAAGTCAAAGGTTATTCAGATTCATGGAATGTGATCATCACATGCCTTTTCATAAGTTCTTCAATGGACTACTGTGCATCTTGGTTGAAAATTTTTCCATCCAATACTAAACAAATATTTATGGGAAAATGTACTGCCCTCAATGAGGAGGAAGAGAGGAGATTGGATTTATACCCTGCCCTTCACTACCAGAAGAAGTCTCAGAGCATCTTACAATCCCTTTGCCTTCCCTACAACAGACACTCTGTGAGGTAGGTGGGGCTAAGAGAGCTCCCTTGAGAACTGCCCTTGAGAGAACAGTTCTGAGAGAATTTATGACTGACCGAAGGTCACACCAGCAGCTGCATGAGAAGGAGTGGGGAATCAAGCCCAGTTCTCCCAGATTAGAGTCCGCACTCCTAACCACTACACCAAACTGAGTCCAAAATTAAAAATAAGCTTGTTACATCTGCAAAGCTAAAGCTCTGGTGAAAGGGGCAAATGCATATCTAATATATTTCAGGGTTTGTTTGTTTTTTTAATTGTCAAAAGAAGATTCTTCTCTCCTGTTTACTACACTTTAATGCTATGGGTTTTTTCTCATTGACCCTCTTATAACGTAATTATCTAAATATTTTCAATGTCTGTTTCACAACTATGGAAATTCCTTTCCCCAGAAACATGCCAAAGACCAACCTTGAGCATCTTTCAGAAGTTAAGTAAAACCTTTTCTTTGATTGAGCTTTAACAAATTAATCTTCTAGTCAAATTTAAAGTATTCACATCATGTCCATTAATCCCAGTATAGGGGGCTAAGTTGAAATCTAAGTCATTCCAGAGAACATGACAATAAAGGTATATCTTTGAATAAACCTTAAATGTACTGTTTGCCCCAAATACCTTTTGTAATTGAAGCTCGGATTTTAAAAGTTAGAGTTTCTTCAAGTAGATTATATTCTGTTTCAATGAAGGAAACTTGGAGTGTTTCCACCAAGAAGGGCATTCTTCCACGATCCTGATCATATGTAATGGTATGGTTCCATGTATAAGGGACACTAACTCCGTCTATGGTGAACAGTCGTGTGGAGTAAGCATAGAGCTGACCCGGGCCTGTTTGAATGTAATCTTCTGTATAATCCTGAAATAAATATCATAGAATAAATGAACTTCAGATCCAGGGGGCATTAATGGGACAATAGGTTACTCCCCAGGCTTCATATAACACTGTCTAATACGCAGGAATACACAGTTATCAGTATAAGATTCCTTACAAATGCTTGCAATTAATGTAAGATATCAAAGTTTATTTCTTTAAATCATTCCACTTTGAAAAAAAAGGATCGAAACAAGGATCAGTCGGCATCATAATGGAACAAATGATTTGATATTGGAGCTTCAATGAGAAACAAAAATGCTACTCCCCCCATATAAAACATTTTAGAATTTAAAAAAGGTAAAATGTTTGATTTTATTTATTGTCCCTGTAGCTGATGCATGAAATTCGTATTGTGTCCAACAAATACCCTTTTTGTTTTGGCAATAGTCCTGCCTACAATTATCTCCTTATAACTCTACATTCTGAGCACATTTACCCTTCAGCAGTGAAGTACAGGACAAAACTGGTGAACAGTCCAAAAGTGAAATAATGGACAGCTAAAGTTACGGCCAGCACCGACTACTACTTACGGACAATAGAGGTGGAAACACACCTTCAGAATGCCATTGTATCACCTTGTTGCACTGCCTCTTCTCAATATTTTTTTACCTTCTCATTTTGAATATTACCAGGGCTTTTTTTGTAGAAAAAGCCCAGCAGGAACTCATTAGCATATTAGGCCACACCCCTGACAGCACAGCTCATTGGCATATTAGGCTACACCCCCATGTTACCAGAAGTGAGCTCATCCAGCCACACCCACCTTTTGCATCTTATTCTGTTTACCTTGTTTGTTGTCAAAACCCAGGGCTTTTTTTGCGGAAGGAACTCCTTTGCATGTTAGGCCACACCCCTAATGTAGCCAATCCGAATGAGTTTCTGCTGTTGGGTGTGGCCTATTATGCTAATGAGTTCCTGCTGGGCGTGGCCAACTTTGAAGCCAGCCGGAACTCCATTCCTGTGCATTC